ACTACTTGAATTACTTTGTGTCAGGACGATGGCTCAGATTCGCAGCCTCGCTTCATTCTAACCCAGGGCAGGTGTGGCTACAGTAGTACTTTATAATAATAATAATAACGCTTCGGTTTTATATAGCACTTTTTGGACACTCAAAGTCTCTTCACATCATTATCCTCTCTCTCCAAACACAGTGGTGATAAACTACTGTAGCCACAGCTGCCCTGGGGCACACTGACTGAAGCGAGGCAACCAGTCTATGCCATCGGCCCCTCCCATTACCACCAACCATTCACACACACACCAGACTCACTCTAGGCAATGGGGGTGAAGTGGTGGCACGGTGGCTGAGTGGATAGCACTCTCGCCTCTCAGCAAGAAGGTCCTGGGTTCAAATCCCTGTCGGACCAGGGCCTTTCTGAGTGGAGTTTGCATGTTCTCCCCGTGTCTGCGTAGGTTTCCTCCGGGTACTCCGGTTTCCCCTACCTCTAAAAATATGTACAATAGTTCTGGCATGTGCCTCCTGTACTGGCCCCGCTCCCATCTCTGTGTGGAGTGAGAGACAAATGCCCAAAAATAACAATTGTAAACTAGGGATGTAAAAAACTATGCATTTTCATGACCGACCACCGAGCCTCATTAACCGGTTGAAACCGGTAAACCGCGTAGTTAAAAATATTCCACGTTCTTTGAAATAGCAGCCATTTCGAGCCGCGTACTTTTCATAAGTTTATCTATGCGTTCTACTAGATCAGAGCTGAGACAGCGGCGCCAAAACCCGCAACAGCTTCGGCACCTTTGCGCACAGAGAACTGCTTTTTCCCATTCTGTGCTGCGGGTAAAGCTTTTTTAAGCAAAAGACGGCTCGTCCACATGGTCAGGGCAGCGAGTGACGAGCCGCGTCTCGCAGGTCTCCGCTAAAGTTTAAAAGTGATGTGTGTGGATCTGATCTAATGACAAGGACCAGCAGCACAAACAGGTTTCATGTGTTTGACTGAAGCCGCGTATTTGCGAGGATTCTTTGGGCTGCGAGACACAGAGGAGCGCGACAGACCGGTATGTGTGTGTGTACAATACATGTGTGTATGTATGTGTGTATCATAGGCGCCGATACCGTGGGTGCTGCGGGGCTGGAGCACCCAGTCAAATAGTTGAGCACCCAGGAAAATTTGTCCTGAAGTAATAAAACAAAACAAAAAACCGCGACCAGTAATATAATAATAATTGAATCTAGCACATAAATAATATCAAAAATATAATTTGCCTTCAACATACACGATGGAATCTTGTTGCCAGGCAAAACCCCTCTGTCCTTGATTTGATTTGTCAACATTAAATTATGTGACGTATCTACGTTACTTTGGCCAAAACAAACGCAAACGTTTACCGCCAAAAACAGAAAGCTAGCAAAACGACGCAGGAGAACAATGGACCGATTTGTAATAAGACAGAAACATGCATCAGATGATTCCATCAATGAGGAGAATATTTCCATATATGAGACAGCATCTACCAACGAGGAAACACAGGACAATGCCGCTAAAGGACAGAAAGGCCGAACCTTCCAACAAACATGGAAAGCTAAGTTTCCCTGGATAGCGTATGATGCTATAAAAGATAAAGTTTTCTGTGAAGTGTGTACCTCGGCTAAAGAAATGAATGCGCCTCTCCCACAAGCAGCGCATGATAAAGAGTCAATGAAAAGTTTTGTGCAATGTGGTTTTTTCAAGTTGGAGCAAGGCTATTGAACGATTTAAATGTCATGAAAAATCCACTCTTCATCGAGCCGCTATCACTGTAGGTGGAGCAGTAAAGGCCAAAGTTAATATTACATCTGCACTTTCTGCTGCCAAACAAAAGCAGATGGTGGACGCTAGAAAAGCTTTGATTGCTGTTTTATCATCTATCCAATATCTTCTGTGTCAAGGCCTGGCTATAAGGGGGAAAACAGATGATGATTCCAATATTATGCAGCTTTTAAACCTGCGTGCACAAGATAATCCAGAACTGAGGTCGTGGTTGGCTCAAAAAGAAAGCAAATGGCTGTCGCATGAAATTCTGAATGAAATGATAGAAATAATGTCTCATGGCGTGCTGAGAACACTTCTCAAGGAAGTAAAAGATGCTGATTTTTTTGCTGTCATGTTGGATGAGACTGCGGACATCACTGTTAAGGAACAAGTGTCAATCTGCCTCCGCTTTGTGACTGATGAGCTGCAGCCAGAGGAGATTTTTGTTGGATTTTATGAAACAGCCTCCACCACAGCAGAAGCGCTTTTTCAGCTTCTCCAAGACGCTCTTATAAGATTTTCCCTGCCTCTCAACAAGTGTAGAGGCCAGTGTTATGACGGTGCCTCAAATGTCTCTGGGATCAGAAATGGTCTACAGGCCCGCGTGCAGACCATTGAACCTCGAGCTCAATATACGCATTGCACTGCTCATGTCTTAAATCTTGTGGCGCACGATGTGACTGAGAACAACTTGTCTTGTCGCAACTTCATGTCACTTATTAGGGATCTAGTTACACTCATCAGGCAGTCACCAAAGCGGCTTTTTTGGTTTCAGCAGATTCAGACCAAAGACAGCCCAGCTTTGAGGCCTCTGTGCCCAACGCGCTGGACAATGACTACGGCCTCACTGCGGTCAATTGCAGACAACTACAGTGCGCTCTTACTTTTTCTGGAAGACTTGGCTCAAAATGACCGAGGGGACGCTGGAGGAAAAGCCAACGGATTGCTTTTAAACCTTCAGAAGTTTGGTACATTCTTTTCATTAAACTTGATGCTGAAATTCTTCTCTCGAATTGAAACGGTATCAGTTGCACTCCAAAAGAGGCAATTGCATATGCAGAAAGCAATGCAGATAATAGACACACTCCGAGATGACATGAAATCTTTTCGCCAAGAAGCATCATTTACTACACTGTGGCAAAGCGTGGTTGGTGAGGCAAGTGATCTTCATCTTGAGAGCCCGTCTGTGCCCAGGCCTCGTAAACGTCCCTGCCGCCTGGAGGATGGAGGTGCCCCGCAGCACGCATTTAAAACTCCCGAGGACGTCTACAGACAGCTGTACTATGATGTTATTGACACAGCAGTCACCTCATTGGACACTCGATTTAGTCCGTCCGTGTTTGATTACATGAAGAAAGTGGAAGATTTTCTCACTGGAAAGAAGAGCTGTGAAAGCATCATTGAGTTCCACGGAGATGATTTGGATGAGACGAGGTTAACGTTGCATCGTGACATGTGTATGGATTTGGCCAAACAAAAAGGAGTGAGCCTTGATACATTTGACGACGTTGTTAACTTTCTAAGACGTGATGGCGAATACTTAAGAGACATGTTACCAGAGATAGCTAAACTGGTAAAACTTGCACTGACTGTCCCAGTAACTTCATGCACGTCAGAGAGATCATTTTCAAGTCTGCGGAGGCTAAAATCATACCTACGGTCAACAAGGGGACACGCCAGGCTGAACCACGTAACATTACTTAATTGCCATAAAACCACATCACGGCAACAGAGTTTGGATGATATCGCCGATGAATTCATCAAGCGCACATCGGCGAGAAAAGGCACATTCCTCCTACTATGACATGACAGCAATGGTGAGTTGTGCATCAGTGTATGTGTATTCTGTGTAGCCTGATGTATAAAGAAAATCCCCATCTATGCGATGTTAAACGTAACTAGTAGCTTGCGATTCTGTTTAGGGAAATGATGTGATGTGCGTGTCACGTGACCATGCAGCTGACAGAGCACCCGCTCGGGAAAAGATAAATCGGCGCCTATGGTGTGTATGTGTGTGTGTGTACAATACATGTATGTGTGTGTGTGTAAATATAAGCTCCAATGTAGTTCTGACCTGCACTAGTGTGGAACTTTGGCGGTAACAGAGGGGAGAGATGATGCGTGTGGATGTTACGTATGGAGGGGGGGAAAGTGTTTGTGTGTGTATGTGTGTGTGTGTGCGCGCGCGTGTGGCTGCGTGCATATGTGGAGCGTGCGCCATGAAAGTCGCCCGTAGTCTACTAATGCACTGGCGCACACAGCTAGATAGGGACCCGCTCGTCACATCGTGCAAATAGGGCTTAAAATAGCGTTATGAAGAGACCTCCCCTCTCCGCTTTTTCTTATTTTTAACCGACAGCTTTGACCGGTTAACGCTGTGACGGTCAACCACCGGTTAACCGGTCACCGATTTACATCCCTATTGTAAACCTCTTTGTGACTCTGGTCTGTGAAAAGCGGTATATAAATAAACATTACTTAATTACTTACACACACCAGACTCATTCTGATGTGGGTAAAGTGTCTTGCCTAAGGACACAACAACAGCAGACATCAGTGGGAGTCGGTTTACTGCCACCGTTAATAATCAATAATGGACTTTTGAACGCAATAAACAAAAGTATTATTATTTTCAAAAGTGACAAAAAACACGTACTAATGTAAATGTCCGGTTCCTATTGGAGGATATCGTTTGCTTTTGTCTTTCCTTTTCTCTTTCACATTTGCATATTCATGACCTACTATTTGCATAACCAAAATGTCCCTTTCCTTTGTTGAAAATCTATTTAGAATACGTCTATGTCAAGATGTTTGTTTTGACTGGTCTTGTTAGTCAGCAGCAGAGAACCACCGTAGCTTCTGTTCTGTCATGTGTTGATTGGCGTCTCGAGGCAAAATCTGAAATCTGAAATCTGACACGCGTCTATTTTGCCACCGCCGCTGTGCGTTTGTGTCTACTCGTGTAATCTTTGTCTCTCCCACCTTAACCGTGTTTTACTTTGAATATGAAGCTTGAGAATGACAGTAAAGTTGTCAGCTGCCTCCATTGATCAGTCCAGTGTCGGGTCCTGTTTGTCGTTTAGCATTTTCTCGTATCGTTCACTGCAAGAGCCACAAATATACTCGACTTTTGTTCTTGTTCTGCAGTATTTTTTTTCACCGGTGCCTTGAAAAAAACGCTGAATTGCTTACCAAATGTGTTTTATTATCTTGTTGTTTTAGGTGTTCAAGATGAAGGCCGTACAGCTGGCGGAGAAGCTCATCCCTGCCTTCAACACTCCCACTGGAATCCCCTGGGCCATGGTCAACCTCAAGACGTTAGTACAGACTTTATTGATCCACAGGGAAATTGTGTTGTCCCAGTAGCTCGCATAGTAATTCACAATAAACAATAAAATAACATTAAATTAATAATCCGAAAATTATAATAAAAACACAAGTTGACAGCCAAAAAATGGTCAGAGGTTTCTCAACTGATTCAGACTAATGTTGGTGTTCTGAGAATATCACATGCATTTGTCTCTATCAGGTCAACTGTGTGAGATACAGCCACAGTGTTACGGATTATGTACGTCTACGTTATTATGAATTCTGCTTATCAAATTTGATGGAGTAAATAAAAACTGAATGACTTTGGATACGTTGACTTTTATTTCTTGAGAAAAACGGAAAAAAACGTCAAGGGTTTCTCAGCTGATGATCCGCAGAAATTAGTTTTTTAGACAAAATCTATTTAAAAAAAACTATTTCAGTAGCAACAGATCCTGACCTGATTGAGCAAAACCAAGGTCATTTTCAGACTCAGAGCCTCAACATTAGTCTGATTCAGCTGAAAACCCTGGACTATTTTCAAAAAAAATATTTTTTCGTTACCCAGTGTTATGAGATAAGATAATAATGTGAGAACAACAAACCATCTGTTAGTATAGAATATGTATAAGGACAGATATAAATGATCTGAGCTAATTTATCTATTTTACAGTTTTCCACATGTTTAACCCTGTTTGTTATGTGTTTGTGAAGGTGTGTGTCTGTGCCTATTGTATGTGTATTTTATCTGTCTTCATATCAACCTTCCCTGGGACTACGGATGAAAACTAGCTTACATGCTAACTCTGGCACATTTACAAGTTGAAAAACACATTAATGTGCTCTGTCCCAATTCACATAAAGATAGAAAAGAAAACCAAAAAAACAAAGCAGATAAACTTGAAGTCTGTTCAGATGAAAACAAAAGTCTTCTCAGAAAAGTCTTTTTGTGTTTTGTGTTTATTATTGTGTTGTGTTTTCCGCTGTGCAGTGGTGTTGGCCGTAACTGGGGCTGGGCCTCGGCGGGCAGCAGTATCTTGGCCGAGTTTGGGACTCTGCACATGGAGTTTGTCCACCTCACCTACCTGACGGGGAACCCTGTGTACTATCAGAAGGTATGAATCTACAAACTCAACCTTTCACATTATGTCCAGATGATCATTCCACATCTGTGCTTTCCAAAACAGGTCATGCACATTCGTAAGCTGCTAGCTAAAATGGACCGGCCCAATGGTCTTTACCCAAACTACTTGAACCCTCGGACCGGTCGCTGGGGTCAACGTGAGTTACAACAATTTATTCTTTTATTTTCCTAAATCACAACAGCAAACAAAACAAAACCATTGAAATCACCAACACAGATCAGAGAACCAACAGTTAAGACACAGAAAGAATATATAGAACACATTTGTATTGGTCCATAAGGAGAGACCGATGTCGTGAGTGAACAGAATAGGTTCAGGTTAGATCCCCAACAGCTGCTTCTTCAAACTGTTGAATGTGTCTCCTGCTGTTGCTTTAAAGGCACACCGCGGACTTTGTGACCTAAAGAGTTGACACATATGAGTTATTTTATATGAATACTTGGGCCAATATACAGCGCTTGACACTTGCAATGCTCCGAGCGGGGCTGCCCTCTTGAAATACCGCCCATGTAACTTTCGAGCAGACGGACCGTCTGCCACCAGGTCACGTGACTTGGAAGAAAGACTTGCTTTACGGCTACAGGCGCTGATATACTCATGGAGCTAAGGCTTTTGCTACTCATTTTTCACCTGCTCGACTCCTGGTCATGGCTGAGGCAAGGAAAAATTTTAAACCTTCGGAGGAGGCTAAAAAGAGGAAACGCGAAAGGGATCGTGCTGTAAGCTGCATGTCTGTATGAGCGCTGCTGTTCACCTGGTTCCTGGATGTCATCGACCGCAACGATGTCATTCCACGCAGCACGAGCTAGACGCAGAACTCCCTCATCCAGGATATAGAAGTCCATGTGTGGTAGATTACTAATGCAGCGGTCTGGAGGCTGACCACAGCAGAGTCTCTCAATATCTGTAGGCATGTCTCTACAGTTTGAACACACACACCAGTGCATGCTGTCTGAATACACACTCAAAAGACACCGGCTGACTGTTTGACTTTTGCGACAGTGCTGAGTTGCTTGTGGCCACTAGGGGCGCTAAACGTGAAAGTTGCAGGTCTAGCGCCCCTAGTGGCCAAGAGTTACACGGTGTGCCTTTAAAGTGTTTTTTTTTTTTAAAGCTACTGATGTTGTGTCTGTGTCGGTTCCTTGTCCATTGTCTAGACCACATGTGTCAAAGTCAAGGCCCGCGGGCCAGATCCGGCCCGCGAATGAATTTTACATGGCCCGTTGCCTGCCATTGACACACTATTACGTCAATTGCGTTTTCCGCTATTGTCATGTTCCCAGATGTCTATTATATCTAATATGTATGGGGATAAGCTTGAGAGCATATTGAATCGAGCCAGTAGGTGGCAGCAGCGCTCTCTGAATGGTTTGAAAACAGCTAGATGCACTTGTTGTGCCTCTTTTTTCTCAGCTTTTTGGTGATTTCAGTAAAACTTCCCTCTACTCAACTGGGGATTACAAGCTAGAAACAAAATTATTTTTGCTGATGAAAGTAGACAGTCTATTCTTTCAGAATCTGGTTTCGGATTTCAGATAGTCATAGTACACAATATTCTGTGGGTCTTGAAAAATCTATAAAAATCATCAGAAACTGCTGGCAATATGGGAGTACCTGTCCTGAAATAGGCTGGCAGGCAATGAGTTAATAAACATTGAACCAGTCCGGCCCTCGGCTCGCAGCAAATTAGTTTTTTTGGCCCTCTGATGTATTTGACTTTGACATGCCTGGTCTAGACCCTTCATTGCTTGGCTCATCTCCAGTCAGAGCTTTTCATTGTCAAAAGCAGGGAGTTAAATACAGAAACAATTTATCTGAAAGAATCACAGCTAAAGTATGTTCAAGTTTATCCGTCGTTGATAGATCCTGTTTACAAAGAAGGGACCATTGACCTAAACCTATTGGAGAAAAAGTAGAACGTTCTATTTTAATGAGAGCAAATTGACGTCAGTGCTGGCAACAGGAAAAGGGGATCACAGAATTCCCATTGTATTGATTTCACTTTGGCGGCAGGCCCAGAGAAATTAACAGCTCCCCAAGTGAAGTGAGACTTGAACTGACTCACTGCTCCAACCCGTAGAAAAATGTAGAAAAATGTGTGGTTAAAGCTGGAGAGACAAAGGGGCCGCAGAACAGTAAGTCCCATAATTGATGTCTTATTCCTGTCATGAAGATGCATGGCAGCTTCTGGTAATGAGGACGCAGACACGTGAGCTTTGGAGAAAATGACTCCTAATAGAATAAAAGTAACACTGGTAATGGTTGTTGAATATATTAAGGTTAAGGCAAGGCAATGGTACACTTAGTAGTCCCTGTAGGTTGAGTCATCTGCGTTTGACCCGTTCTTCCAAAGCCAAGAGAAACCAGTCAGGGTTAGGGGAAGGCTCACTCCAGATACATGCAAAATTCATTTAAAAAAAAGACCCGGTTCAGCTCAGGAATCGTACCTGCGACCTTCATACTGTGATGCATCAGTGCTACCCACTCACTGACCTGATTCTACAGACGTTTCACACTTTGACTGAAAAGATACTGCCTTCTATCTTATCTGACCCCACCTCCCGCTGCTCCCCGCTCGTACATTTGGACATGTGCAGTAGAACAAACGTAAACAACAATGGCGGCGGGTACGCTAACTAGCTATGTGTGCTTCCATGTAAAGTTCCTCTGCCCCCTACTGGCCAGGCGCTAGAACTACATCGTTTTTGATCCTCGTATGAACGCTGTGACATTTGCATAAGGAGCCTGGTCGTTTGCTAATTGTTTCTGAGCAGCGCCTCCGTATAAACGCGCCTGAGCGTAATGTCTCTGTACATTGTCTTAGTTCAATAAAGAACTAAAACCTAAACAGTAAAATTATAGTTTTTTTTAGCTGCAACTGAAAAATGTACATCTCTATATTCCCTCTCCATTAGCAACGGCCTTGGAGATTGTTTTAAATCTTTCATTCGTGCCTGGCAAACCCAAAAATCTGGAGTCATGCAGCTTAGGAAAAAGGAAATGAAAATACTTAATCTGAAAAGCACTTGAATGTGTGAATAATACTTGTCTCCCGCCGTTTTGTAGAGAAGTCAGAAGTGGATATTAAACGCTACAACAAATGAATAGAGTTCTGTTTGTTTTTACCTGTCACAAAAACAAACGGCGAGCACTGGTGGGTGGAGGCGGGAATAATGGACGGCCTCATTAATGGATGAGTCCAGGCGGCAGCTCGAGCGGCTTTTGGAGGTGGTTTGAAGACAACAAAAACAAATGATGGCTGTGAGCAGGAGAGGTTTGTGTGACCGAGCGGATGAGGAGGAGACTGATGCGGAGCTGCACGGAACATTATTATTATTTGTATCACAAGCTAAACAGATGCATTTTGTCCAATTGTACTTTCTCAGCCATTATGTCAAAGAGTAACGACTTTTAAACAAGAACACGTTTGGATGTAGATGGAACGCAGCCAACTATGTGTATTATATTCCATGAAATGTGGCTTTACGTCTGTCGTCCAGTGAGTTTCTGATGAAGTCAAAATGTGTTCATTGCATGTATCTCATTGACTTGTGTCTTTGTATTAGTTTTGCACTTGACTTGGTTTGATTTGTGCTTAAAAGAATGAGATGAAAACCCTTTTTAGAGCAACAGTGAAGCAATATGTCCGTCAATGCTAAGTGCAGAACAGTCAGGATGGCCTTGGAGAAAGAGAAACCTCCACAGGATGATAAATAAATAAAAAACTGAATAAGATGAATACAATACATTACTTATTTTGATTCATTATAAATAACTATAAGATTTTTTATTTTTCTGATGGTTAAGTGTCTTCCTATCCACCTTCACGGTCCGCCTTAACCACACTATCAATTTTAAAACCAATGTGGGCGGGTCCCGGCTCAAAAGTGTCCAAAATAACGTGCGCTGACATGCTGCAATACCACCCCGGGCCTGTGGGGGTGGACCCGGAATAAGAATTAGCCAATGCTAACATATAGCATCTTCTTACCTCTGGAAAACGTCTTTACAGGATGGACCAAAAGTTGTCTCTTGGCCCAAAGCTCCGTTCCACATGTGTGTCAATGCTGAGTGTTCTGGACCAGTCTTTAGTTGTTTTTGAAGGCACTTCGTTTTTTCACAATTTTCTTGTGGGCGGGACCACTCGCAGCCATTTTGGATAGCTTCAGTAGAGCGCAATTGTTGGGCCATTTGTTAGAACGGCGAAGATAGATAAGATTGCTTTATAGGTGTGACTCTGTCCGTTAATATATACAGTCTATGATTAAAACAGCATAGGATTTATTACAGCAGGTCGAGGACATGAAGAGACATATCCAAATTACTTTTCAATGTTTACTGGCCTTAGTAAACGTTAGTAGTAGTTTAGTTGTTTATTAGATTAGTAGTTTAGTAGATTATTAGATTAGTAGTTTAGTTGTTTATTAGATTAGTAGTTTAGTAGATTATTAGAGTAGTAGTTTAGTTGTTTATTAGATTAGTAGTTTAGTAGATTATTAGATTAGTAGTTTAGTTGTTTATTAGATTAGTAGTTTAGTAGATTATTAGAGTAGTAGTTTAGTTGTTTATTAGATTAGTAGTTTAGTAGATTATTAGATTAGTAGTTTAGTTGTTTATTAGATTAGTAGTTTAGTTGTTTATTAGATTAGTAGTTTAGTAGATTATTAGAGTAGTAGTTTAGTTGTTTATTAGATTAGTAGTTTAGTAGATTATTAGATTAGTAGTTTAGTTGTTTATTAGATTAGTAGTTTAGTTGTTTATTAGATTAGTAGTTTAGTTGTTTATTAGATTAGTAGTTTAGTAGATTAGTGGCCTACAATCCTTGGGAACAAATAATTTCTCATGACAGTTTTTTACAATTTCAATGTTATTTATTCTGTACTGTTCCTTACACATCTCTAACTCCTGCAGAGTCAACCAGGGCCACGCCACATTCACTCAGACACTTTAGTTTGGACCAAAGACAGATGCTTAATGCTCTCAGCTGCACAACTGTTTTAGAGCAAACTTAGCGTCAACCCAGCGGCAGAAATCAACCTAATGCGCAAAGCCATTTCCTGAATAATTACATTTATAAATTAGCACTAACCTTTACCGTGTGAGATGGGGACATTAAGAAGCTGTGGCCTAATGAATACTGGTGTAAACGTGTAGGAGTGGAGACGGTAGTTAAGACAAACTAATGAGCGGCTCTTCGGTCCTAATGGCGTCCTCCGGTGAGTACAGAACACCCACTCCTGACTTCACCTGCAAAGGCCTCTTCACAAACTATTTCTGACGAGAAAAACAACATTTGGAGCAATTTGGTTTGTAAGAGAGAGATTTATGAAAAACTGGATTCATCATTTAACCTCTTAAATGATGAATCCAATAGCAGATGTATTTTGAACACCAAACCCTTACAAGCGGTATGTCATTTTAAAGCTTATTTTCTTGTAAACAATATCAGGTTTTGCATTTAAAAGATATAACACATAATATGGGCACGAAATAAATCACTTCCGAAAAAGTTTTAAGATAAGATAAACCTTTATTAGTCTCACAGTGGAGAAATTTCAGTGTCATCGTTGCACATTACAGCAGAGAAAGGAAATAAGAGCACTCAGACGCACACATCAAAGTCTATTATTTAAGATAATAGACAATAATTTAAGATAAAATAAAATAAGATAAACTCTGGGCTATAATTGCACTTGGTTCGAAGTATTTACAGATGTCTATATTATACATTAGCAGCGGAGAATATGAGCAGAATAAACATCAGAAATAATATCAACAGGTAAAGTGACTAGTGACAAAGTTACTAGTGAATTATCAGTGACACTTGTGCAGACTCAGCAGTTCCTGTTACACATTCTCGTTGTACAGTCTGACAGCAGCAGGAAGGAAAGACCTGCGAAACCTCTCCTTCACACAGCGAGGGTGAATTAGTCTGTCACTGAAGCTGCTCTCCAGGGCAGCTTTTTTACCTTTTTTACCTTTTATCTTGTGCTCCATAAATAAATCAGATCTCCTCCCGGCTTCCTATGGCTCTTTCACTCCGTAAATGGGAGAGATGTGAAACCAAACCATCTTTTTATTTTCTCAAGTTTAAGTTTTAGAAAAAATGGACAAAAACCATCACGTCCGTTACACATTTTTCAAGGTCCTTTAAATTTGTATTTATATATATATTTTTTTATAATGATTCTTTTCTAAATGAAGTGATTTCCTGATGTTGTGTTAATGTTAATCTTTTTCAGACTCAGGATATTTTATATTCTGAGCCACAGAATAATCCAATCAGAGTCGGATCTGGGTTTAAAATGTCGCCAAAACTGTATTTGTCGATCTGTCCTTTAGATTTTATCCACACTATCTCTTTGACCTGTCTGAGTGTCAAGTGTGTTTTTCTAATCTATGAAAGTCATCTTAGTTTTTGAGTTAAAACCTTTTTAAAGTCCAGATACTTTGACACTGAACTCACTCGTGTAAAAACCTAATTGTGTTCAAATTGTTTAATAAAAGCTTTGAAAACTCATCCAAAGTCAAAAGGTTTTCCAGTATATTGACAACAGGAGGTTCTTTGGTCTGTGGTTGTCAGAGTGAGTTCTGCCGCGACAGTTGGAGCCAGCACAGACACACATTGTTTATTGTGATTTAGGTTTTGTGCCCTTGACCTACGTTTGATCAAATGTTTTTGAAGTTTGGAGAGTGCAGCGTGTCTCAGAGCAGCCTTTGTTTGACAGGTGCTCGTGCCTCAACCCAGTGATTTGATTGGCAGAGAAAGGGCGGGCAGCATGTGGGTGGGAATTCAAGAACAATGTTTTTGTGAGAGGCAGAAGTCTAATGAAACAATCATCAGCAAAAACAAGAAAATATTGATAAAAACAAAACAGAAACGTGACAATTATATATTTTATATTAAATGAGCATTATGTAAACATGTGGTCAAAAGTGGTACTGCAGCCTCTCCCACTCTCCCTGACTCAGGTTGCCAGATATGCAGACGAATCCAGCTGGGACCATAACAGCTGAATAGACAAGAGTTTTGTCAACAACAAATCTATAACCAACACCTTTTTCACAAAGATAGAAATCCTGGTTTTATTCCTTGTTTAGTCGTTAATGATTTGAGAATCATAACGAGACCTTTTTTAGTTCTGCGCCATTTGATGACAGATTAGGGCCCTTTAATGATGACAGATTAGGGCCCTTTTGATGATGACAGATAAGGGCTCTTTAATGATGACAGATTAGGGCCCTTTAATGATGACAGATTAGGGCCGTTTTGATCATGACAGATTAGGGCCCTTTAATGATGACAGATTAGGGCCCTTTTGATCATGACAGATTAGGGCCCTTTAATGATGACAGATTAGGGCCCTTTCTTGATGACTCGACATGAAAAACATACTAATTGCTGCTTTAATGATAAAAGATGGATATTTTATCATCATACAAAAGCATAATAAACCCGTTTTTACATTTTTCTTTTTCCAAACATACATTTCCACCTAAACCTAAACCTTTTTCTACAGATTAAAGTTGTTCATGTGTAAATGAAATGCCTGTTTCCTGAAATGTGAAGCGGCTGCTGCAGTATCTTACATAACATCCATCTGTCTCCTTTTGTGCAATGTTTTTAATGAAATGCATGTAATTGATCTTTGTAATTAATACCTACTTTAAATGGGCCTCGAGCACCAAGCAAAAGGATGATTCTGGCAGAGACGACACTGGAGGATTATTTACCCCGGTTTGAAACCAGACTAATCTCATTCATCTTTGGTGTTGGTGCCGATGAAAGCAGCGACCCTCAGAGAAAAGGCTGATGTGGGCGCGTACTATTTTTCATGTCAATTTTTAAAGAAAATGTGTTGTTTATTTTTACCATTTCTATGCCATGTAGCTTTCAAAGGATTTGCTTTTCCTTTCAAAATATTAATGCAACCTTCACTTTCAAATGTGGTGTTTATTTTTGTTGTGATCTTTTATGAGGTTTGTGTTAATCTAGAAATCACAAACATTAGATTGACTCTTACTAAAACACCACAGACATGTTTTGATTAACTGGATGGTTACAGCAGTGAGGTTGTAAGGTTCTGGTCATGTGGTGTTTCAGTAAATGCATATTTCAGAGCTACACTTCGCCCTTAGTGATATCTCCAAGGTTGTGTGCCAGGTCTCTCTCTGCAATAGTAAATGAATAATGCATGACTCCTCCTGGTCTGGAGTGTCCCTTCATTTACCTACAGGCGTGTTAATCACATTCAGGACATTCTCCTCTCGTCAGACACAAAGCATATGCTCAGACTCTCAATGTGATCAGATGGAGCTGATGTAGTTTTGCAGATTGACTCCATGTGTTTAGAAAACTCATCATACTTAGTTTGTGTTGCATGTGACGTGCAGGAGATGGTTAAAAACACTGAAGTCAAGTGGAAGTGTTTTTTGCACTACACCAGTATCCTGCAGTACGGCTTCATTGCACTCACAAATTTATATTGATTAAATGTTATAGCCTCAAGAGATATAGAATCCATACATCAGTTTGACTGGTCCTGAAAATAGACTGAAGTGGCTTTAAAATTGAGATCAAGTGAGCTGAAAGTGTCCTCTGGAGGATAAAATGAATATTTTCTTATCAGAGAGAATTGGCAGCGCTCCATCTTCTCCGTGTGATGTTCGGAAAATGAGGACAGCTTTGAGAGCTGTGTAAACTTCTATGGATGATTTAGATGCTGTGAAATGTGAGCGCTCTGGAGGAACATAAACGTGCTCTCTGGTGTCGATGTGGAATAAAAGTGCTTTACTCTGCCTCCTCATTTTGGTTCCACTCCCAAACTTACCTGAATTGTCTTTTTCAGATCACACCTCGGTTGGAGGACTGGGAGACAGTTTTTATGAGTACTTGCTGAAGGCTTGGCTCATGTCGGACAAGACGGATACAGAAGCTCGCAAGACCTACGACGACGCTATAGAGGTACATCATGGCTATGTTTCTGGAACTACACGTTAAACTCGGCTCAGTGACGTCCGTCCGTACTGTTCAGATTCAGGAATAGTCTGAGTGAGTCTAAGTGTGAGACAAGAGATAGGCCCCCTCCTCTCTGTTCATGGTCAGTGTTCTGCGTCCTGATTTCAATTGTATTTTTCACATTAGTTTCTGGTTTGGACACAAGCTATAATTTGGATTTAGTTTTCATATTTAATCCAGGCGACAGTGGCTCAGTTAGTTGAGCCTTGTGGTGGTTTTGATCCCACCCCAAGACCTACTTCATTGACTCCCACTGATTTCTGCTGCTATTTTGTCCTTGGGCAAGACACTTAACCCCCTCTTTGCCTGAAGCCCCTGCTGAAAGATCTGATGCCACCTCAGACTAGAGCAGCCTCCTGTGGACTCAGCTCCTGCTGGAGGATCAGGGAGGGGCTGGGGTCACAGCTCTGACTGCCACCCTCCGACTCAGAAATGGATTAAGGTGGAAAACATGTTTATATGTATTGATTTAATCCCTAGTTTAATCCATAGAGTAGAAGTTTGATGCTGTTTGACCCACACACGCAGGTGACCAGGCCCCTAGGATTGTTTTATTATTACATGTTACTTGCAGGCATTGATGGGAAGTGTATGGTCTACCATGGTATGTTATACATCATTTCAAAGCTGATTTTCTAATTTATTCTAAGCATTGAACGCAAAACACAATTAGCTAAAGCTGGATTTAAAAATTCTTCTTCTCCTTTAGTCTAGTTTTTGTTCTCCCTAAGTTTGATAAATGTTGAACTTAAAATACTATATAACATTATTATAATCTTCTTGATCTTCTGTTCTTCAGTATGGATGAATGGTTCTGTATGGAACTCTCCAATGACCCTTTATACATGAGCCCCTGAAGGGAGCAGCTGTGTATCTACTGTCGCTGATGGTGTGTTGCTATTTACATGTATGACCAGATGTTACAGGCCAAAATGGCAATCAATGCGGCACTCGCTTCACTGCAGTTAATTATTACTCATTTACCACAACAACCTACTGATAATCAACAACACACTGAGCTAAAAATATTGTCCATAAACAACTTGATTACCTGCCATCTACGGCTTTGCACAGGCCATCGAGCGCCACCTCATACGCAAGTCCAACGGCGGCCTGACGTTTGTGGGAGAGTGGAAGAATGGGCACCTGGAGCGGAAGATGGGCCACCTGGCATGCTTCGCCGGAGGGATGCTGGCTCTGGGCGCTGACGGCTCTCCGGATGACAAGGCTGGACACTACCTGCAGCTGGGGGCCGAGATCGCACACACATGTCACGAGTCCTACGACAGGACGGGTGAGCAGCAACACAAGGACGTTCCAGTTAGCTCCTGTAGCAGACATGTTACCAAGTGAATGAATATACAATCCTTTTATCGTACAGTGGGGTAAAAGGATATTAATGAGGGTCCTTGATATTCATAGTAATCTGTATTGTAATCTGCGAAAGACATCACATTGGCAGCTGTGCGTTACAGACGACCGACCTCTCTAGGGTCAGCAACACATGCATTGGCCTTATGTAACAGAATGTGCCTCACGTGTGCAGTGATAATGCATACAATCTAATTTATTTATATGGCACATTTTATAAAACATGTTTCCAAAGAGCTGCACGGATAAAAGTAACACCAGATTTAAATACAATTAAAATAGATAAATTGATAATATTTGTATTTATTTTACACTGGACAGACCAGATCTGCCTTTAGTGTTTATTGATCCCCGTAGAGCGATTGATCCTCTGCATTTGACCCTGATGCTCTAAGGCTTACGTCAGGAGCAGTGGTTGCCGTAGTAACAGCGCCCGGGAACCCATCTCCAGATGTCGATGCTCGGCTATCTAGTACCCGGAGGAAACGTACGCAGGCGTGGGGAGAACATGCAAACTCCACCCAGAAAGGCCCTGTTACGACCGGTATTCGAACCCAGGACCTTCTTGCTGAGAAGTGGGAGTGCTAACCACTCAGCCACCGTGCCGCCACAGTTTCAGATGAAGATGTCTAAACGTGTTTGTAGTTTTAGGTCAGTGGGAAGAGCGTTCCACAGTTTGGCTCCATCAAAGGAGAAGCTGGACTGTCCCAACGATGTTCTGGACTTAGGAACCAGACAGTCCCCACTGAACTGAGACTGACCGAGGCTGACCGAGGCTGACCGAGACTGACCCAGGCTGACCGAGGCTGACCGAGACTGATCGAGGCTGACCGAGGCTGACCGAGGCTGACCGAGGCCGACCGAGGCTGACCGAGGCCGACCGAGGCTGACCGAGGCCGGCCGAGACTGATCGAGACTGGCCGAGGCTGACCGAGACTGACCGAGGCTGACCGAGGCTGACCGAGGCCTTCGAGAGCCTTGGCGTCTGACAGACCAGAGAACAGCGGTGGAACATGATCATATACATACATTCAGATTAATTTATTTGCCATTTGCAGTAAAACCACATTGGAATAAAGTCCCAGTGCGCACAAGACAAGTACATACATAAAACAACAAAAGTAAGAAATAAAATAAAACAGTTTCAATACAAGTGCAAGATCATTAAAGTGGGATAAACATAAAACAGTAGACCACATAACCCACGCCGTGTTAAAAGCCAGCGTAACAATGCATCACTGTTTCTGTAGAAATGGGTTTATTTCCAACATGTAGAATATTTCCAAAAGGCATAACCACACACAGACAGAGCCTCCACCTTAAAAGAACATCCATTCATCTTTACAAGTTGGGTTTTGTGCTCTATGTTTTGGCTTAGTTTATAAATGGTTATCATTGACATCAGCAAAACTCTGTAAAAGCACCCGACTACAACGGCTACGATATTGCCAAACTAACAACCGCTGTCTGGCTTATATATGGCGCCCTGTGTGTGGCTGAACGGCAAAGTAATCATCAACATTGGAGAAGACCTTTTGGAAAACATTTACTTGGGGATCAATACAAACAGACACTCGCTCTTTGTGTTTCTGCGTTATGATTGTGCGAGTTTCAAAACACAGGGTTTCTCGGAACAAAGACGGCTGCCATGGAAACTAATGAAGATGAATATAGTTACTGGTTATAGCCGCAGGGGGTCTGATCGCAGCAGGATACTGGTCTGAAAATGACCCATTTGAGTCTAAATGAGGAAGTGTTCTCCATCGACGCCTCACACATGACACACTGCACATAATCTGTATCTTTAACATGGTTTCACATCAATAACCCTCATTGTATGAAAAACCTCTCTGCACAAGTCTAATAAGTTTGGCATTTTGAATTTTGTGTGAAAGTCTTAACGTATGGAGAAAAAAATGTATGGTAGAATTTGACAGTGTGCTCAAAGGCTTTGTGAACTGAGACACAGGAAGGTTGGCTATAAAACTATACTTGTACTAACTGGTCACGTTCTGTATTAGCCTGAATGATCCAACGCTAGCTTAGCCTGGTCTGGCACATGTTTGTGATGTCACTGCTGAGGTCCATTGACACAGAGATAGCCGAGTGGTCAACAAAAATGGGTTGTTGCGTGTTTTCGAAGGCAGTAGGCACACAATTATACAAGTACATAAAGTTAAGGTCTTGGGGAAAAAAAAAATCAGTTTAAAAAAAGTCTTTTAAGTGTTTGTCTTCAACAGCATGTCAACATTGTGTAAAAGTATTTGCACAAATCAGAATTAAATCCAGCTGAAATATCCATCTTTAAAGCAAGCACTATGAGGTAGCCTGGTTATATTTCTTGTACCAATTTGCACATTTTGAAAATATTTAATCTCGTGGAGGACGTGTGAAATGGGCAAAGAGACGTTAGAGACAGTCTCCAAATGTACAAGGCCTTAGCATCAACACACATTGTATTTATGGGTTTGTTATAACATTACTGTTCTTAGTGGACCATAAGGCGCACCTGTAAATAAGCATCACATCCAACATTTGAAAAGAAAGTACATTTTATCCACATATAAGCCTCACTTGAGTATAAGCAGCTGGGGCTTATGTTGTAAAGACGCAGACAGACTGTTTTAACTGTCATTAATTTATCTGTTTTATCCTGTAGCTCCTTAAATCTGTTGGAGTCAGAATAAGTCCATAAACCCTACTCTGACAACAGCCCTAAAAATACACATATTAGCCGCATCGCTATATAAGCTGCAGGGTAGACACGTATAGCCTGGAAATTATGGTAAATGGTTATCGATGGAAGATGAATTTGTACAAAACAGAAAAAAGTTGTATAACCTTTTAGTTCAAGACCAAAACCACGGAGCTGTTCCAGAACTATGGGAGACTTTTGCGGTTTTTCTTCTTCTTTGTATTATGAATTGTATCTTTCAAAGCTCCCACTGACCTTTCATTTTTATCTCCACACAGTGTTAAAGTTGGGTCCAGAGGCCTTTAAGTTCGACAGCGGTCTGGAGGCGGTGGCGGTGCGACAGAATGAGAAGTACTACATCCTGCGCCCTGAAGTCATCGAGACGTACTGGTACATGTGGAGGTTCACCCACGACCCCAAGTACCGGCAGTGGGGCTGGGAGGCTGCTCAGGTGAGGCTAACCCCAACCCGGAGGAACTGAGAGAAATGTCAGCCTTTGTCTTGGAGAATAAGATACGTAAGACATGTGTAGTACTGACTCCGATAATGACCTGCGTGCTGTACATTATTCTGCTTATTATACGGCTTTGTACCAACAGAACACACAAAATAAACTTCAGTCACTTTTAGGAATGCCGAAAGGTTTGTTTAATGACTACAAATAAAATAGTCCTGTTGTGGAATTTCTAAGGATTGAAATGCACAATAATTAAATATAAAATAAACTACAAAGAGCTGTAAAACCATCAAAGTGTGGTTTATTATCTCAGTAAATGTACATATACAGGAAATACAACCGTCACCGTGTGAGCATAGTAGATCTGCTCCATAGTGCTCACTCTCTCATATTTATAGGATGGAACAAACAGAAGAGTCTATGGCGTCTGAGTGGTAACAGCCTCAAACCCCCCTCTCTCCTGACGTCTTACTCTATGACTCTGATATGACTCTGATATGACTCTGATATGACTCTGATATGACTCTGATAAGACTCTGATAAGACTCTGATAAGACTCTGATATGACTCTGATAAGACTCTGATATGACTCTGATAAGACTCTGATATGACTCTGATAAGACTCTGATATGACTCTGATATGACTCTGATAACTCTGATAAGACTCTGATATGACTCTGATAAGACTCTGATATGACTCTGATATGACTCTGATAAGACTCTGATATGACTCTGATATGACTCTGATATGACTCTGATATGACTCTGATATGACTCTGATATGACTCTGATATGACTCTGATATGACTCTGATATGACTCTGATATGACTCTGATAAGACTCTGATAAGACTCTGATATGACTCTGATATGACTCTGATATGACTCTGATATGACTCTGATATGACTCTGATAGACTCTGATAAGACTCTGATAAGACTCTGATATGACTCTGATAATGACTCTGATATGACTCTGATATGACTCTGATATGACTCTGATATGACTCTGATAAGACTCTGATATGACTCTGATATGACTCTGATATGACTCTGATATGACTCTGATATGACTCTGATATGACTCTGATATGACTCTGATATGACTCTGATATGACTCTGATATGACTCTGATATGACTCTGATATGACTCTGATAAGACTCTGATAAGACTCTGATATGACTCTGATATGACTCTGATATGACTCTGATATGACTCTGATATGACTCTGATATGACTCTGATAAGACTCTGATATGACTCTGATATGACTCTGATAAGACTCTGATAAGACTCTGATATGACTCTGATATGACTCTGATATGACTCTGATATGACTCTGATATGACTCTGATAAGACTCTGATAAGACTCTGATATGACTCTGATAAGACTCTGATATGACTCTGATATGACTCTGATATGACTCTGATATGACTCTGATATGACTCTGATATGACTCTGATATGACTCTGATATGACTCTGATATGACTCTGATAAGACTCTGATAAGACTCTGATAAGACTCTGATATGACTCTGATAAGACTCTGATAAGACTCTGATATGACTCTGATAAGACTCTGATATGACTCTGATATGACTCTGATATGACTCTGATATGACTCTGATATGACTCTGATATGACTCTGATATGACTCTGATATGACTCTGATAGACTCTGATAGACTCTGATATGACTCTGATATGACTCTGATATGACTCTGATATGACTCTGATATGACTCTGATATGACTCTGATATGACTCTGATAAGACTCTGATAAGACTCTGATATACTCTGATAGACTCTGATAGACTCTGATATGACTCTGATAAGACTCTGATATGACTCTGATATGACTCTGATATGACTCTGATAGACTCTGATAGACTCTGATAGACTCTGATAAGACTCTGATATGACTCTGATAGACTCTGATAAGACTCTGATAGACTCTGATAGACTCTGATAAGACTCTGATAGACTCTGATATGACTCTGATAAGACTCTGATAAGACTCTGATATGACTCTGATATGACTCTGATAAGACTCTGATAAGACTCTGATATAGACTCTGATATGACTCTGATAAGACTCTGATATGACTCTGATATGACTCTGATAGACTCTGATATGACTCTGATAAGACTCTGATAGACTCTGATACTCTGATAGACTCTGATATGACTCTGATATGACTCTGATATGACTCTGATATGACTCTGATAAGACTCTGATATGACTCTGATAGACTCTGATAGACTCTGATATGACTCTGATAAGACTCTGATATGACTCTGATATGACTCTGATATGACTCTGATAAGACTCTGATATGACTCTGATAAGACTCTGATATGACTCTGATATGACTCTGATAAGACTCTGATAAGACTCTGATATGACTCTGATATGACTCTGATAAGACTCTGATAAGACTCTGATATGACTCTGATATGACTCTGATATGACTCTGATAAGACTCTGATATGACTCTGATATGACTCTGATAAGACTCTGATAAGACTCTGATATGACTCTGATATGACTCTGATAAGACTCTGATAAGACTCTGATAAGACTCTGATATGACTCTGATATGACTCTGATAAGACTCTGATAAGACTCTGATATGACTCTGATATGACTCTGATAAGACTCTGATAAGACTCTGATAAGACTCTGATATGACTCTGATATGACTCTGATAAGACTCTGATAAGACTCTGATATGACTCTGATATGATATGACTCTGATATGACTCTGATAAGACTCTGATATGACTCTGATATGACTCTGATATGACTCTGATATGATATGACTCTGATATGACTCTGATATGACTCTGATATGACTCTGATATGACTCTGATAAGACTCTGATATGACTCTGATAAGACTCTGATAAGACTCTGATAAGACTCTGATAAGACTCTGATATGACTCTGATATGACTCTGATAAGACTCTGATATGACTCTGATAAGACTCTGATAAGACTCTGATATGACTCTGATATGACTCTGATAAGACTCTGATATGACTCTGATAAGACTCTGATATGACTCTGATAAGACTCTGATATGACTCTGATAAGACTCTGATAAGACTCTGATATGACTCTGATAAGAATGGTCAGTATGATTTAGATTTAAATGTATTAAGGGAAAACCCCTTGAGATGCAGCATCTCATTTTCGAGAGGGTCCCATGAACATATGACCGGTGAGCACGCTCCTCTTGCCCAGATATCAAGCTAGTATCTGCCTCTATCCCGTCATTGGCCTCGCCTCTCTACAGAACAACAGATTAGTTAGCTTGAACAGATTGATTAGCTTGAACTTTGTCCCAGATATCCTAATTCATCATTAGTTTAATTCTTAAGTTAAATTGATTTATAATCCCAGTTAGATTTTCTACAACAGTCCCCAAAGGTTTTCCTGTGGCTGTGCGAGAAACAGTTAGGCTAGTATCAGTTAGGCTAGTATCAGTTAGGCTAGTATCAGTTAGGCTAGTAACAGTTAGGCTAGTATCAGTTAGGCTAGTATCAGTTAGGCTAGTATCAGTTAGGCTAGTATCAGTTAGGCTAGTAACAGTTAGGCTAGTATCAGTTAGGCTAGTATCAGTTAGGCTAGTATCAGTTAGGCTAGTAACAGTTAGGCTAGTATCAGTTAGGCTAGTATCAGTTAGGCTAGTGACAGTTAGGCTAGTAACAGTTAGGCTAGTGACAGTTAGGCTAGTATCAGTTAGGCTAGTATCAGTTAGGCTAGTATCAGTTAGGCTAGTGACAGTTAGGCTAGTAACAGTTAGGCTAGTAACAGTTAGGCTAGTGACAGTTAGGCTAGTATCAGTTAGGCTAGTAACAGTTAGGCTAGTGACAGTTAGGCTAGTAACAGTTAGGCTAGTATCAGTTAGGCTAGTAACAGTTAGGCTAGTGACAGTTAGGCTAGTAACAGTTAGGCTAGTATCAGTTAGGCTAGTAACAGTTAGGCTAGTGACAGTTAGGCTAGTAACAGTTAGGCTAGTGACAGTTAGGCTAGTAACAGTTAGGCTAGTAACAGTTAGGCTAGTATCAGTTAGGCTAGTATCAGTTAGGCTAGTATCAGTTAGGCTAGTATCAGTTAGGCTAGTATCAGTTAGGCTAGTAACAGTTAGGCTAGTATCAGTTAGGCTAGTATCAGTTAGGCTAGTGACAGTTAGGCTAGTAACAGTTAGGCTAGTAACAGTTAGGCTAGTGACAGTTAGGCTAGTAACAGTTAGGCTAGTAACAGTTAGGCTAGTATCAGTTAGGCTAGTAACAGTTAGGCTAGTAACAGTTAGGCTAGTGACAGTTAGGCTAGTAACAGTTAGGCTAGTAACAGTTAGGCTAGTATCAGTTAGGCTAGTGACAGTTAGGCTAGTATCAGTTAGGCTAGTAACAGTTAGGCTAGTAACAGTTAGGCTAGTGACAGTTAGGCTAGTGACAGTTAGGCTAGTAACAGTTAGGCTAGTGACAGTTAGGCTAGTAACAGTTAGGCTAGTAACAGTTAGGCTAGTAACAGTTAGACTAGTGACAGTTAGGCTAGTAACAGTTAGGCTAGTAACAGTTAGGCTAGTAACAGTTAGGCTAGTAACAGTTAGGCTAGTGACAGTTAGGCTAGTAACAGTTAGGCTAGTGACAGTTAGGCTAGTAACAGTTAGGCTAGTAACAGTTAGGCTAGTAACAGTTAGGCTAGTGACAGTTAGGCTAGTATCAGTTAGGCTAGTGACAGTTAGGCTAGTAACAGTTAGGCTAGTATCAGTTAGGCTAGTGACAGTTAGGCTAGTGACAGTTAGGCTAGTAACAGTTAGGCTAGTGACAGTTAGGCTAGTAACAGTTAGGCTAGTGACAGTTAGGCTAGTAACAGTTAGGCTAGTAACAGTTAGGCTAGTAACCGTTAGGCTAGTAACAGTTAGGCTAGTATCAGTTAGGCTAGTAACAGTTAGGCTAGCAACAGTTAGGCTAGTAACAGTTAGG